ACCACCACGTCCTTGCAGAATTCGGGATGAGTGGGTAATATGACAATATTAAAAATGCTTTGTTAAGTTCACACCTTCAACTTAGGCCGCAGCCTTTACACACAGACTGTTACAAGTTTCGAAGCTGTCGTTTACAAAATGATTTGAGAAGATGTGTGTGTGTGTGCGTGTATAAGCATTGCATTCACTGTGTGGACTTCCGAACAACAGATGTCAACATGAAACAGCTAGGCAGCAGCGATTGTTGTATGGACTTGCCAACGTCCACACAATCTTTCCCCTCCTCTCTGAAAAACACATTTAGAGGCATTTTGGGGGTTTGGTTTATCCGTGACAAAATGAAGAGAAACACTAGTAAAGGGAATCATGTGTTGAAAGAGTTTTCACAGTTTGAGAAAATGTTTTTTTTTCACTGGTTTTTCTTAACTACCCGAAAACAAAGGAATGTCCACACTAGGTATGTTAAACAAACAAGAGTGCGCCTGACAGTGTTCAACTGTTGCAAACCGATTCGTACATACGTACGTACGTACGCCGTACATTTGTAGTTTTCCCTCGCACTAAGTCCATTGTCCAATGCCACAAACGAACGAGTTTTGTCAAAGGCAACTGAGAGCCGAGTTCAATTTAGGCCAAGTTCGGGCAAGGACCATTAGTCGACTAGTGGTTGATTTGTGACGTACCTTACGCCTGCGCACTAATACTAAGTGCGAACGCCTCTAGTCAAACGCTGGTCCAAATGTCATCACAAAACTTCTGGATCCTGGCTCCCTGCTGTACGTTATGAACGCGCGCGGCTATGGTTACCAGCGATGCAACTAGCCCCAGTAGGTTGGTTCCAAATAGTCGACTAGCGTAGTCAACCATCGTCGACTAGACAGAGTTCGGGCAAGCGTTAGTCGACCAATGGTTAACTATAGTCCTTGCGCGAACTTGCCCCTTAGGTCGGCCCGGGATGCCAGACATTTGTATTCACGTAGACTTGACTCAAGTCGGATTTGCTTTAAGTCGGTGTCTTAAAAAAAAGTAGCAAAACTCACTTAGATGCCCGACAGCGTAATTTTTTTTCCTAGGAGGGTTAGGGGCAATGTCATGAATAATTCAGTTTTTCCTTTGAATCATTGCAAGACTTAGGTTCTCGTTCTATTTTCCCCTCAATTTAAAATTATCTCAGTGATAAATTTGGAGAAGAAAAATAGTTGATGAAAATGAGCAGCGACGACGTGGATTCGAACCAGGGATCTTTGTATCCATAGCTCATCTCGCTATCCACTAGGCTACTGTGTGGTAGCTCGACGACAACCGTTCTTTAAATGCTTTAATGTATTGTAACTAGTTGAGTAACTAACAACAATGCTGTTGATGTCATTGTCTGTTCTCATGGATAAACATGAATTATTCATGACATTGCCCCTAACCCTCCTAGGAATAAAAATTACGCTGCCCGACAAGGTACACTTCAGCGCGCGTTCCACTTCAGTGCCGTGTAACAATGCGCACACACTGTATGTACATTGCACAACACGCGTATTACACGTACATTGTGTGTGCATGTATTGCAGAGCATGTGCATAAATTAGCAATTCCGACTTGATCAATCTGCCGAACGCAACCCAGACTTGGCCAAGTCTAGTATTCACGTGATTAACTTCCTGTTCAGTAGTCGCCATATTTAAACCTTCATGTGCAAATGTGCTATTCCATTCTGTAAACTGATGTAAGCTGGCTCGTTCTACTTGTAAGTTATCCGTCAAAGCGTCTTCAGGTAATGGATTAGTCATTAGTGGTAGGTACTGTTATTTTTAATTAAAAACCGCAAAAGTTGGGGATTATGTAGGTAATGTGATGCATGGAGGTGATGTTAAAGGGAAAATACAACATTTGCAAACATCAAAAAATAAAACTACCAAATCATTTTGAAATACCTTGCTGGACTGTTAGTGAATGACAGTGTAAAGCATCCTGTACAATCATGGCACCTGATATACTGTCATTTTCAATTAAAAGTGGTATTTTTGTATCAATTTCCAACGCTGGTCGGCCGACCAGCGTTGGGAAAAAAATGGCATTTTTTTCAAATACTGGCCCTAATTGACCATCGTAATTGTTTGCAATCGATTACACACCTATGAACGGTTACAAGCCAGCTAGACAGGTTCCCTGACCTTACAATTCCCCACTGTATGTAAACTGCTCTGTTTCTTCTTATATGGAGTCAGGGAATCAGACTACAGGAAAATGATTGTTTTTCTTGGTTTTTATAGCATTTTCGAACCCAAAACCTCAAAAAGGTCAGTGTAACTATATTTGCTATATATTTCCAACCCCCCAATTCCATCCATTTCTGAAAATTACAGCAAAAGCAAACGATGTATATTCCCTTTAACTTGTGCTGTTCAATTGAGGAAAAGTTAATTCGAGCACATAACCCTTTCAGAGAAAGATCAATGTACGTAAAATTATTATAGATTTCGGTACAGGGTGAGTAAAAAAAAGAAACCGAAAGGCCAAAAAACAAAAGTCTCCGGTTTCTGGTATGCGCGCGCGTCGCCGTAGCCATGCGCGTCGGCAAAATGAAAAAGTTTTTTTTTCAATGAAAGATGATGTCTCAAAACCGCCAAACTCACTGGTTTGACTAGAATCCTGCTGCTGCACAATTTTAACGTGATTTTAGATTGGGTTGTGGTCGAGAATAAGCTTTATGTGGCCTCTCTGGACTCCCATATATTTGCACTAAGTTTAGTCGGGCACCATT